AGTTTGAATCGCAGTTTCTGTTTGGACACCGTGGTGAGCTCAGCAGCAGTGGCAACGATGCAGAGCTCTCCAGCAGAGATGGCCGTGCAATCCAATAGAAAGAGGGCCCCAGCATGGACGGATCGGGAAGTCTTGGATCTCATCGCAGTGTGGGGCGATGAGTCCGTGCTTTCGGAGCTGCGCTCCAAAAGACGGAATGCAAAGATCTATGAGAAGATCTCTAAAGCCATGGCAGAGAGAGGCTACAGCCGGGATGCAACGCAGTGCCGCGTGAAAATCAAGGAGCTGAGACAAGGCTACCAGAAGACCAAAGAGGCAAACGGACGCTCTGGATCCCAGCCCCACACATCCCGTTTCTACGAGGCACTGCATTCCATCCTAGGTGCGGCCGCCACCACCACCCCACCCCTGACCGTGGACTCTGAGGATGGGATATTGTCCGCGGCCGGTTCCTCAGCGGACGGGGAAGAGGAGGAAGGAGATGAGGAGGACGAGGCAGTAGACAGCGCTTACAACGCTGATTTGCCCGACAGCCAGGAGCTCTTCATCACCCTGACAGAGATCCCCTACCAACCCTCCCCAGCCGTTACCCCAGACACAGATTCAGGGGACGGATCAAGCAGTAAGTGTTTTAAATATCTAAACATTTATTTACAACATAACTGGCGTATTTAAAATATTAACATTAGCTAAAGTGCTTTAAAACATGTAAACATTTATTTGCAACAAAACAGGAAGATTGAAAATATGAACAGTGGGTAAAGTGCTTCAAAACATGTAAACAGTAAAGTCAAACAAAAGGGGAATCAGTGCAAAGTGTATCATGATTTGTCTTTTTTTGGGCGCCTCAATATATAGTCCGAACCATTTTCAAAAAATTGCACAATGTCCGCTTCATGATTATAATGCCCAAAACCCTGCAGTCATTTGTCCCTCCAAGGGCACCTAAGCCAGGAACTGGTCAATGTAACCGGGGATAGAGGCGAGATCCTCCGGGGAGAACTCCTCATACACCTCCTGCAGGTGTTTTTCCAGCCTCATCAGCAGGTTCCTGGGCAGGGAGAGCTTATTAGGCCCCCCGTGGTAGGACACGTTTCCCTGCCACAACGCCAGCAGGTACTCCGGGATCATGGCCTTGCACAGCAGTGCAGCAAATGGCCCCGGTTTCTGCAGGCTGTCCCGGAGCATCTTCTCCTTCTGGCTCTCGGAGACCTTCAGGAGGGTGATGTCTGGCATGGCTCCCTGCTGTGAATTAGGTATGGGAAAGTTAGTATTGGAACTGCTTGCCCGTCCCTTTATAGAACTGCAACCGCCGGTTTACAGCCACGCGGTTTACAGCCGCGAGGGGGTGGGACAGGGGCAGAGTTCATGCTTGCAGGATTGCTGCCAGCAGAGACTCGCATTGCTTTCTATTTGAAAGGAGGCCAGTGCCACTCTTAAAGTTTTAAGCGGCCACAAGTCTACGGCTTACCATGTTTGCCATCTAGACAAAGTCCGGTGTCCTGCCCTGCTCCTCAGCTCGCCACAGCAAGACCGCAGGCACTGTAGGCGAGGGCCGAAAATTCGACCTTGTCCTCAGTGCGCGTGTGATAGGTGCTCTGCATGGTCTTGTTCACAGAGAAAGACTATGTTCTCTGTTCACAGATACATTGCTCTGTCTCAGGAATTCACTCCCTTTTTCCAATTCCCACAGCCACATCTGCCCAGAGGCTAGCGCACATTAGGAGGAGGAAGAAGAGGACACGGGAAGACATGTTTGCTGAACTAATGGGATGCTCCCGAGCACAGGCAGCCCAGCAGACACAGTGGAGGGAGAACTTGTCCCAAATGCACCGGGCAAACATGGAACGGGAGGAGAGGTGGCGACAGGAGGACAGGCAGGATACTCAAACGCTGCTTGGACTAATGAGGGAGCAAACGGACACGCTCCGCCGCCTTGTGGATGTTCTGCAGGACCGGAGGCAGGAGGAGAGAGCCCCGCTGCAGTCTCTCTGTAACTGCCCTGCCCCGCCACCAAGTCCCATACCCCCCTCACCCAAAGTCCAAACACGGAGGGGTGGAAGGGGCCGTGAAAAATTTCACTCCACCCCTGCGGACTGCTCTACCACTAGAAGGCTCTCATTCCCCAAAATTTGAAAAGTCCTTTCCTACCCGCCTCACACAAGACCCCGTCCAAGTTTCACCCCCCCGTTCCATGTGCGGTTGTTAATAAAGAATACGTTTCTGTTCATTTCTGTTTCCATCCTCTTCTTTTGGAGGGGAGTCTGTCTGAAGGGGGGGGGAAGGGGCTTGGTCATTGGACAGGACAGTCACCTTTAGCAGGGGGCAGGTGCAGCAGCAGGGCACATATACAGTGCAGTGACTAGTTATCCTGGTCAGTCTGGGAGGTGGTTTTCATGTTTTGTGTGGTGGGGGCGGTGGTGTTGCTCTGTGACTTGGTGGCGGGGGAGGGCAGTTACAGATCTTATGCAGCGGTCCTTACCCTGCATCACAGAGCCGCGCAGCAGGGGATCTGTAACCCTCCTCCCCCTGCAAGACAGTCACATAGCCGACACATACACGCAGTCCCGGCCAGGAGGGCTGGCAGGCTCCGTTGAAACAACCAGTCCACCACCGCGGAGCCTGTCATTCCTGGAGTTTAGAGGCATCATTTGCATCACAACCCTAAACCCGCCCCCCGCCACAGTCTGTGTCCCAGGTTTAAAACATTCCCGCGAAAACAGTAATAAAGACAACGGTGTCCATTAACAAAACAGAACAGACTTTATTTTTTGGGAAGGGGGTGAAGGGGGTATGTAAGTGGAGAGGATAGTCGACGGCAACTGGGTAAAGAAAGGGGGGCAAGTTCTGCCTCTGTGTCCACAAACTTAAAAGTCACTGGGTACCCTGCTCAGCCTTGAAACTGGCTTTCAGAGCCTCCCGGATGCACAGCGCGTCCCGCTGGGCTCTTCTAATCGCCCGGCTGTCTGGCTGGGCGTAATCAGCAGCCAGGCTATTTGCCTCAACCTCCCACCCCGCCATAAAGGTCTCCCCCTTGCTCTCACAGAGATTGTGGAGCACACAGCAAGCTGCAATAACGATGGGGATATTGGTTTCGCTGAGATCACAGCGAGTGAGTAAGCTTCTCCATCTCCCCTTGAGACGGCCAAAAGCACACTCCACCACCATTCTGCACTTGCTCAGCCGGTAGTTAAACAGTTCTTTTTCTGTGTCCAGGGCGCCAGTATAGGGCTTCATGAGCCAGGGCATTAGTGGGTAGGCTGGGTCCCCGAGGATCACTGTAGGCATCTCCACATCCCCCACAGTTATCTTGTGGTCCGGGAAGTAAATACCTTCCTGCAGCCGTCTAAACAGACCAGAGTTCCTGAACACGCGAGCGTCATGAACCTTGCCCGGCCATCCGACATAGATGTTTGTAAACCGTCCCCGATGGTCCACCAGTGCTTGCAGCACCATTGAAAAGTAGCCCTTTCTATTGATGTACTGGCTGGCCTGGTGGCCCGGTCCCAGGATAGGGATGTGAGTCCCATCTATAGCCCCACCGCAGTTTGGGAATCCCATCGCAGCGAAGCCATCTATGATGGCCTGCGCGTTTCCCAGGGTCACTACCTTTGACAGCAGTACCTTGACGATTGCCTTGGCTACTTGCATGACAACAACCCCCACGGTAGATTTGCCCACGCCAAAGTGGTTCGCGACTGACCGGTAGCTGTCCGGCGTTGCAAGCTTCCAGAGGGCTATGGCCACTCGCTTCTGGACAGTCAGGGCTGCTCGCATGCGGGTGTCCTTGCGCTTCAGGGCAGGGGACAGCAAGTCACAAAGTTCCAGGAAAGTGCCCTTCCGCATGCGAAAGTTTCGCAGCCACTGGGATTCATCCCAGACCTGAAGCACTATGCGGTCCCACCAGTCCGTGCTTGTTTCCCGGGCCCAGAATCGCCGTTCAACAAAATCCACATGCCCCATTGCCACCGTGATGTCCTGGGCGCTGGGGCTCGTGGTTTCTGACAGCTCTGTGCTACTCTCCGACTTCAGGCCCTCACGGCGGTGCCGTAGCCTCCTCGCCTGATTACTCTGCATCTGCCTCAGGGTAAGGTGTATGATAAGGTGCGAGGCGTTGAGAACGGCCACAACTGCAGCGATGGTCGCAGCGGGATCCATGATCGCAGTGCTGTGGCGTCCGCGCTGTCACTGATCAAAAAGTGCGCGAACTGATTTCCCGCCAGCGCTTTCAGGGAGGGAGGCAGGGCGGTAGTGACTGACGGATGACGACAGTTACCCAAAAGCACCCTCGCCACATTTTTTTACCCAGAAGGCATTGGGGGCTCGACCCAGAATTCCAATGGGCAGCGGGGACTGCGGGAACTGTGGGATAGCTGCCCACAGTGCACTGCTTCCAATGTCGACGCTTTCCCTGGTACTGTGGACTGACAAAGTCGAATTACTGTCCTTAGTGTAGACACACACGTTCGACTTTCTAATATCGATTGCACATATTCGATTTAACTAAAATCGAACTACTCTCGTAGTGTAGACATACCCTAAGACTAGCATTACTTTGGATTAAATAAAATCCTAGGATTAGAATTCTAGGTATCATTCCAGGGAGTCTAAGCACAAACACACTTCTTTGCTCAGCATTGAAGCACTAGCAATTGAAAACCCCTTCTGGAGAGTTCAGATTTTCATGGGACACACTCATACTTTACAAAAAAAGACCTCGGATTTATGGAAAAGGGGGATAAAGGAGATATTGAACGTGTTTCAGCAACATCTAGAGAACTTTAAAAAAGCATCTGTCACTGTCTGATGCTAAGTGACGGTGGCACTTGATAACTTGTAAGACGTTTTGGATAAATACTTCATGAGCCTTCCATTAACTACTAAGATGCCCCATAAATTGCTCTAGCAATACAATTTAAAAACCCAAGCTCAAGTGGGATTTTACAATCTGTGTCTTTCCCTGGCACCTTCTAAACTCAATGTTATGTTTTCTCTTTCAGGCCATGTATATGTTCTACGCTTTGGCAATTGTCTGTGATGATTTCTTTGTCCCTTCGTTGGAAAAGATTAGTGAAGTAAGTATCTGTAGATATTTCTTGGACCTGCATGTCACTTTAGTAGCAATTTCCCTTGAAAACCTCAAGATGTGTCCATAGTAGATAGCATTATATTACAGTTTCACCTTGTATTTTTTTTTATTTAATGGGTAAGAAAACAGATGTTTGTTTACATTGGATTATAATATTGTGTAAATGATTGGTTCAGCTTTGTGTGTTTCTGTTATGGGAGCCTGCGTGTGCATTTCTTACTGGGAAAATAATGTTTGTAGGGTACCCTTATAAAGCTTGTGATTGCCACTTCAATAACAATAAGAACAGTTATATCTGCAGAGCACTCCTCTCTTTAACAAATAGTTAGAGGCCCTCTACAATAGAAAAAGCATAAATACTATATAGTTAAAAACATACCTTAAGAGGTACCCAGGAAAAATTGGTCTTGTGATTAAGTTGCTCATCTGGGACTCAGAAGTTCAGTTCCTGGCTCTGTAACAAACTTCTTGTGTGAGACCTTGGGCAAGTCACTTAACCTTTCTGTGCCCCACAGGTTATTGACGTTTCTTCTCTCCCAACAGGTGAGGTGGATGAGGCTTTTTTTAAACAACTAACAAAATCATCCAAAGCCCAAGATTTGGTGGTGATGGGGGACTTCAACTATCCAAATATATGTTGGGAAAATAACACAGCGGGGCACAGACTATCCAACAAATTCTTGGACTGCATTGCAGACAACTTTTTATTTCAGAAGGTTGAAAAAGCTATTTAACAAATAGGGAGGAACTCGTTGAGAATTTGAAAGTAGAAGGCAGCTTGGGTGAAAGTGATCATGAAATCATAGAGTTTGCAATTCTAAGGAAGGGTAGAAGGGAGAACAGCAAAATAGAGACAATGGATTTCAGGAAGGCGGATTTTGGTAAGCTCAGAGAGCTGATAAGTAAGGTCCCATGGGAGTCAAGACTGAGGGGAAAAACAACTGAGGAGAGTTGGCAGTTTTTCAAAGGGACACTATTAAGGGCCCAAAAGCAAGCTATTCCACTGGTTAGGAAAGATAGAAAATGTGGCAAAAGACCACCTTGGCTTAACCACGAGATCTTGCATGATCTAAGAAATAAAAAGGAGTCATATAAAAAATGGAAACTAGGACGGATTACAAAGGATGAATATAGGCAAACAACACAGGAATGCAGGGGCTAGATTAGAAAGGCAAAGGCACAAAATGAGCTCAAACTAGCTACGGGAATAAAGGGAAACAAGAAGACTTTTTATCAATACATTAGAAGCAAGAGGAAGACCAAAGACAGGGTAGGCCCACTGCTTAGTGAAGAGGGAGAAACAGTAACAGGAAACTTGGAAATGGCAGAGATGCTTAATGACTTCTTTGTTTCGGTCTTCACCGAGAAGTCTGAAGGAATGCCTAATATAGTGAATGCTAATGGGAAGGGGGTAGGTTTAGCAGATAAAATAAAAAAAGAACAAGTTAAAAATCACTTAGAATAGTTAGATGCCTGCAAGTCACCAGGGCCTGATGAAATGCATCCTAGAATACTCAAGGAGCTAACAGAGGAGGTATCTGAGCCTCTAGCTATTATCTTTGGAAAATCATGGGAGACGGGAGAGATTCCAGAAGACTGGAAAAGGGCAAATATAGTGCCCATCTATAAAAAGGGAAATAAAAACAACCCAGGAAACTACAGACCAGTTAGTTTAACTTCTGTGCCAGGGAAGATAATGGAGCAAGTAATTAAGGAAATAATCTGCAAACACTTGGAAGGTGGTAAGGTGATAGGCAATAGCCAGCATGGATTTGTAAAGAACAAATCGTGTCAAACCAATCTGATAGCTTTCTTTGATAGGATAACGAGTCTTGTGGATAAGGGAGAAGCTGTGGATGTGGTATGCCTAGACTTTAGTAAGGCATTTGACACGGTCTCGCATGATATTCTTATCGATAAACTAGGCAAATACAATTTAGATGGGGCTACTATAAGGTGGGTGCATAACTGGCTGGATAACCGTACTCAGAGAGTTGTTATTAATGGTTCCCAATCCTGCTGGAAAGGCATAACAAGTGGGGTTCCGCAGGGGTCTGTTTTGGGACCGGCTCTGTTCAATATCTTCATTAACGATTTAGATATTGGCATAGAAAGTACGCTTATTAAGTTTGCGGATGATACCAAACTGGGAGGGATTGCAACTGCTTTGGAGGACAGGGTCATAATTCAAAATGATCTGGACAAATTGGAGAAATGGTCTGAGGTAAACAGGATGAAGTTTAACAAAGACAAATGCAAAGTGCTGCACTTAGGAAGGAAAAATCAGTTTCACACATACAGAATGGGAAGAGACTGTCTAGGAAGGAGTACGGCAGAAAGGGATCTAGGGGTTATAGTGGACCACAAGCTAAATATGAGTCAACAGTGTGATGCTGTTGCAAAAAAAGCAAACGTGATTCTGGGATGTATTAACAGGTGTGTTGTGAGCAAGACACGAGAAGTCATTCTTCCGCTCTACTCTGCTCTGGTTAGGCCTCAGCTGGAGTATTGTGTCCAGTTCTGGGCACCGCATTTCAAGAAAGATGTGGAGAAATTGGAGAGGGTCCAGAGAAGAGCAACAAGAATGATTAAAGGTCTTGAGAACATGACCTATGAAGGAAGGCTGAAAGAATTGGGTTTGTTTAGTTTGGAAAAGAGAAGACTGAGAGAGGACATGATAGCAGTTTTCAGGTATCTAAAAGGGTGTCATAAGGAGAAGGGAGAAAACTTGTTCACCTTAGCCTCTAAGGATAGAACAAGAAGCAATGGGCTTAAACTGCAGCAAGGGAGGTTTAGGTTGGACATTAGGAAAAAGTTCCTAACTGTCAGGGTGGTTAAACACTGGAATAAATTGCCTAGGGAGGTTGTGGAATCTCCATCTCTGGAGATATTTAAGAGTAGGTTAGATAAATGTCTATCAGGGATGGTCTAGACAGTATTTGGTCCTGCCATGCTGGCAGGGGACTGGACTCGATGACCTCTTGAGGTCCCTTCCAGTCCTAGAATCTATGAATCTATGAACATTTTTTAAATTAAATTAATGGAGATATCCTATCTCCTAGAACTGGAAGGGACCTTGAAAGGTCATCAAGTCTAGCCTCCAGCCTTCACTAGCAGGACCAAGTACTGATTTTGCTTCAGATTCCTAAGTGGCCCCCTCAAGAATTGAAACTCACAACCCTGAGTTTGGCAGGCCCATGCTCAAACCACTGAGCTATCCGTCCCCCGAGTTTGGTTGTCTTATCTATTTAATTCACAAGCTCTTCAAGGCAGGGACAGTCTCATAGTGCATGTTTGTTCAGCATCTTGCAAAATGAATTCCCAATTTTGGCTGGGACCTCTCGGTGCTACTGAAATAAAAATTATAGTAATACAGTTCTAAAAATACAATCTAGCGTACTGTAATTCAGACGAAGATGGCCAACAATTGCATATTTTTAGCCTTCTGATGAAAAATGTCTGTTTGAGCCTGGATTACATTAAAATAGACATTTTTCCAGTAAAAGCTAAGTTTTAAAATTTGCAAAATTACAGCTTCTCAAACTTGTGCACTCTAAATTCTGATAAACTTCCAGTAAATCATTCCATCAGCTCCACTGGCCAATTCTTGGGAAGGAAAATGAGAGAAATTAAGATGTATCTTGACTTTGACATGAAAATGTTGATCCACTGGATACTTCCAAGTTTCAAATGATGTTTTAAACCCGCTCTGCATCACATTGGGGCAAACAGGTCACCCAAAGGGGCAGAGTCTGGCCAAAAGAGGACTATTTTGGTCCTACACACACCACAAATGTGGATTCTACTGCCCTGACATTGATTACAACAAAGTCTTGGTTTGGATTCAAAATTCAACAGATATGCAGCAGTCTCCTTATATGTGCAGGCACTCGGCAGATGGATGGATATCTGTGCTCCTCCTGCTTGGCTAAGATCCTATTACTTTTGCTACCTTAGTCCCCACCCCAGCCAGCTTCTCTGCTCCACCCACCTGGTGTTTTGTCTTTTAAACGATGAGATCTTTGGGGCAGGGCCTTTCATTTTCTATGTTTTACAGCACCTAGCATTGGGAGCCCTTAGCTCGCTGGCCTGCACATGCTACTGCAATATGAATGTATAATAACAATAATAATTAATGGTAAAAATTCTGCTGAGTGCATGTCACATTGCAGACTTCAGTTTAAAACACTGGACCAGATCCTCAGCTGACATAAATTAGGAGCTATAGTTGATTTACATTAGCTGAGGCTCTGATCCCTTATTTGGATTTCAGACCTCCCGGCAAGATTCTAATTCCATTTTAAATTGTACAGCAGCAGGGAAAGCTGCTCTCACACATTTCAAGCAATTGCAAAGGAAACTATCCCCATTTGGCTCAGGCCAGCAGGATGAAATTTTAGAAGATAAGGAGTATTTCCCAGCCTGAATAAACACAGAAAGATAATTATTTGTTGAGCGTGGGCCATATGTTTGAAGTGTCTTCAAGTCTTTCCCAAAGCCAATTCCATGCAACGAAATCTGTGCTGCAGGTAGAAAATACAGATTGGTTTTGCCACTTCGAGATCTTTGTCAATTAGGAAAGACACCTGCAGATCTCCTCTGATGGTAGAACCACAATTATCCATCTTCCTGAAAACGGAGCTGCTCCTGAGCTGGGGGAGGAGGTGTGGGAGGTTAGTTGCAAAATCATTTCTATCTGACAGCTCTGATGGAAGCTGGTTCCTAAACTGTACTGGTGTTTCTGGTTCATCAGAATACAGCACAGCAAAAACCGTTTGGATGATCAAAGGGGTGACTGGGCAACTGATCCGTGCCAGAGATATAGTTGTGGTGCAGAGAAGAGGGAGTGTGGTTTAACAAGTATTAGATAAATGTGATCATACTGCAGACCATAGCAATGTGATATAGGTTAACAATACATGTTAACCATGATTATCCAAAGATGCCTTAACTCTCTCAAAAACATGAGGGTTGTTTTTTTTCAACATATTTGTTCTCAGCCCAAAGGTGACCTTTTGGGGACACAAAGTCCTTTCTTTCCAACGACATCAAGCTGTTCTCGAGTTCTGTGACGATGAAAGAAATACATGTTCCTATTTTCAGAGTTGCTCCAACTTTTTTTTTTTTTTGGTCTTAATCTGAAATGGCTTTTCTTTTAAACTTCCAACTTGCATGGACATAGCCTTCAGTGTTAGCATTCAGATGTTCATGGGAAAGAGGCCCAGCTAACCTGGGAAGGGTCTCCACTGCCTTTTCTCCTGGCGCCCTTGTCTGCCTTTTTCAGACTAAAGGGGAAATAGTTTGATCACACTTTTGGATAACATCTGGGGCTGGATTCTGCTGCCCTTCCTCACACAAAGTAATCGTCTGTTCCACAAGAAGTCCCATTGAAATCAATAGGACAGCTTTGAGAGCCGGGGATTATTCAATGTCACTAAAGGTGACAGATGGGCAGCCCTATCGGATGATGTGGTATGCTTTGTATATTTTTAGTAGCTTCTCTCACTTGTTAACTTGCAAAACTTTGTCATTGGAAAGCGGTCTCGCTGTCATTCAGTCACATTAGGGAAGTCCTATTGCCTAAGGGCTTGTAAGCACTTGAAAATCAACATTCCACAATAGCTCCTCATGTGGACTTGCTTATTCCAGAATAAGAATAGCTTTTTCCGGTTTAGTTCCATCAGCACTGGAAGTGTATTAATATTAGGGTTATAACAGCATATACAGGCCCCAACTGATAGCACCGTGGAATAGATTTTTACTTCCTTTTCCACGTCTTTGGACTACCCAGCTTGTCATGGCAATTTGAATACATTGCCTCAGATTTCTCTGCTAGGGAAGCCACAGTTATAATAATCTGTCTTTAGGAAGTACAAACTCAAGCATATCCCTTGACTGATTATCCATCCTCCGAAGGCATCAGCGGGGTGCAGGCTGTATGTTATACGATGAGTGAATCTGTGTTTCCACTGAGCCTGGTGCAGAAGAAACCAGCCCTTTGGGAGATCTGCCTTTGTTCCTAGATACGTCTTTCACAATATTTTTAGTCCTGGTTAGATCACTTTCAGAAAAGCTTTTGTTTAATCAATTTGTCACACGTTATTATGATAATATAACACTTTTAAGCTTTCTGCCTCCCATGGAGGCCAGACTCTGCCCACACACCTCCTCTTCCATTGCCCCCCATAACATATATGAAAGACTGTATAATTAGCATGTGAGGGGGCAGAGTTAAGGGTATCTGGTGTCCTTGTGAGAAAATGAAGCTGTGATTGGACTGTTAATTGAGGATTCGATTGCTTGTTCTGCATTTTTTGCAAAGTGAATTAACTCTCTACCTTATCTTTGCATATACATAGTTTGCTGAGGTAAATATTTATGAAGATCCCTCGGAGATTCTTGTGGTAAAAGTACAATGCGCGATGGGATTTTTTTCAGGTTTCAGTGGGAATTAATGGAAGATAGAGGAAGTGTTTAGATCGCCTGTCTGCTTGCTTGCTCTTTGTTGTTTTAAACGACGAGTGCTGTCTGGAAAGTGTTTCTTCACATTCCACTGCCCCTCATTCCACTGATGACCCATACCCAGGCGCTGCAGCTTACGTGTTTGGGTCTGTTTTGTGTAGAAACAAGGTAGCAATTTGCAGGCGTACTAGAGGGGGGTTGTTTTCTAGCTTCTTCGCATAAAACAATGGGCGGTGCCAGCTGGGCCTGTTAGTTTTAGTAATTTGGTCCCATTTACTGAACTGTAGCTCGTACCGATGGAATGGTGGGACTGCACAAAGCATATAGTAAATAGTTAACTAAGCAGATATTTGGAAAAGGTTTATACCAATGAAATCTGTATACAGTAGTGAGTGCTTTTCCTCTCAGGAAATAATGTTTTAAATAAGATCAGCCCCCATATGGCTAGGGCTATGAAGGCTAGAAGTGGGCTTTTGGGTTTCTTACAGCTAAAACAAATTTGGTAAGTATGGGTATTTTAAGAGAATGCCAGTCCTTGATTATCAGTGGAGATTATGTTAGCTGTGCTGGGTAAATCCCATACAGCGAAGTTAGCACCTTGGGTCTGGGGTACTCACACCCTTACATACTCCCCAGAGCACATGGGCAAGAACTTGGCTCCATCCCCCAGCCCCCACCATGTACTGGCCAGAGTAGGTGAGACAGCGTGTGCATGGAGACAGGAAAGGAATCGTGACTCAGAGGGGTGTCATCATGCCTTCTGGGGTGGAGCAGCTAATATACCTTGCCCTGCACGGGGCAGTGCCCAAAGGAACAATCTAGCCCTCTGTAAATTGAAATCAGAAGGCACAACCATCTTGCTTTTTTAGACTGAGAATGCAATATTTCCCCCTGGTAACTAATGCCTCTCTGTCCTGTTGGTTCGTCCCTTCTTTCCATTTAAGCGTATAAGCAATTTCCTGCTCAGACAGACAACTTCACTTTTTCAGTTGAATTTCTTCTCACGTGCCAGTGTTATAATCATGGACTTCATTTTGTTTCTCTGCAGCGCCTGCAGCTTAGTGAAGACGTGGCTGGGGCAACTTTCATGGCAGCTGGAAGCTCCGCTCCTGAGTTGTTTACATCTGTTATAGGTAACTAACTAACCAGCCATTTCTTCTTTAAACAGTTTTTAAAGGCATTAAGTACAGCTGGAATTGCCAAATGATATTAAGAGTTGTAATAAGTCTTAACCTGTTCTCTCATGGACGCATGGAAGATTAATTGTGATAAATCCTTATTAAGTCTAGGAGCTATATGTATAAATCTCCCGGTGTGGATGAAAGAACAAACTCCTGAATTTCTGTTTTTATGTACAATGTGCGTCACCAAGCATAATCCAGGCTCTGTGCACCGTGAATAGATTAACACGCCACTAAAGTGTACCTACACACACAATGGCCATGCTTTGTGTCCATTACAGATGACTAAGCACAGTTTGAGAATGGGCCAGTCCCATCTACACTGCAAGACAGAACCATGTTTTTACCTGTGTTGAGGGGCTACATAGCTCGATTACAGTGTAGATGGAAATTTTAGTGCCGATCAGGGGGGTTTTGTGTTTGGTCTTGTTTTGGATGAGAGGCTGGAGCCCAGGGGTATAGCTGTGTGCACTGGAGATCTATGCAAGCAGTTCTCCCGCATGTCCAACCAGCCCCTCCTCCTCTTCCAAGAACGTGGTGAGAAATTCCCGACCCTCTCTGTGACGGATACAAGGGCATGCCGTGAGGGCTAGTGGAGGCTGCTGGCTTGTGAAGTTGTGGATTCAAAACCTTCATAGGGAGAGATTAGTTGAGAGCTTTAAAAAATTGTCCTTCATCCTACCAGAAGGCTCAGTTTAGGAGAGAAGGATGGGTAGCCATATTGCTTAAGGCACTGCAGGAAGGTGCTCAGATACTACCTTGATGAGCACAATATAGAACAGAGGAATGGAGGGGCTCCCTCACAGCAGCACTCAGCTCATGGGGGGGCAGAACAGGGGGCCATCCTATTGCAGCAATGCTCAAGAGTGAGGGGCTTCTTTCTTCTACACAATTGGTTCAGAATCAGCAGAGCCTGCTAGTTTCAACCACGTTTCACCACTGTTATTGTTAGCACAGTCCTAGCAGTGGTTCCTTTGACCAGTGGGGACATGGATTTTGGTCTGAGAATCATGCTATAAACTACCTGGGTTGAGGGAAGTGCATAGCCCTGTTTATACCCATCTGTGGAGCAAGAGAGTAATTAACCACTGGCGCAACTTACCAAGGGTTGTGGCAGATTCTCCATCACTGGAAATATTTTAATCAAGATTGGATGTTTTTCTAAAAGATCTGCTCTCATTCAACCATAGCTATTGGACTTGAAACTGGAATTCATTCAGGGAAGTTCTATGGCCTGCATTGTACAGGAGGTCAGACTACATGATCACAGTGATCCCTTCTGGACTTAAAATCTATAAACCTAAAATTGACCAAAACGGGGACCGTGTTATAGTAAAAAGGTCAGCATTGTAAGCTAGTTTCAACATGATTTGGCTGTACAGGTGGGACCATGTTCCAACATGGTCAGGTCACTACTTTGTTATAACAAAGTCCCCGGTTTGGTAGAATGAGCCCCTTGTGTAGCATGGTTCTGAGGGGGGGAAAATCCCAGGCCACAATGGTCAGGGAAACTCTTCTAGACCCCTGCTAGCAACAGCTGAATTTCAACAGACTTGTAGCTAGCAAGTGCCCTTGGGTTTTTTTTTTTTTTATTCTCTGACATTTATTTCTATAGTACCCATTACTGTAGCACTTTTGATAACATTCTCACTAATCCTATCAAAGAGCCAGATTCTGCCTCCTTATTCACCCTTTTACTTTCCTCCACAAGTTGTCCTATTAAATTTGAGTCAAAGTGGCAGAATCAGGCAAATGACTAAGATCCAGGTACAGTAGCACCTCAGAGTTACGAACACCAGAGTTACATACTGACCGGTCAACCGCACGCCTCATTTGGAACTGGAAGTATGCAATCAGGCAGCAGCAGAGACCAAAAAAAAAAACGCAAAGACAGTACAGTACTGTGTGAAACGTAAACTACACCTCTACCCCGATATAACGCTGTCCTCGGGAGCCAAAAAATCTTACTGCGTTATAGGTGAAACCGCATTATATCGAACTTGCTTTGATCCGCCGGAGTGCGCAGCCCCGCCCCTCCGGAGCGCTGCTTTACCGCGTTATATCCGAATTCATGTTCTATTGGTTCGCGTTATATCGGGGTAGAGCTGTATTACAAAAATAATGGGAAAGTTTCAAAAAAAGATTTGACAAGGTAAGGAAACTGTTCCTTTGCTTGTTTCATTTAAATTAAGATGGTTAAAAGCAGCATTTTTCTTCTGCATAGTAAAGTTTCAAAGCTGTATTAAGTCATTATTCAGTTGTTGTAAACTTTTGAAAGAATCACCATAACATTTGTTCAGAGTTATGAACATTTCAGAGTTACGAACAACCTCCATTCCCGAGGTGTTTGGAACTCTGAAGTTCTACCGTATACAGCAAAGGGGTGCAGTTTTTTGGAGTAGGATCCCTGTTCTTTTCGATTTACTCCGTTTGCCTTGAACTTGTTTTTCAGGTGTTTTTATCACAAAAGGAGACGTAGGAGTCGGAACCATTGTTGGCTCTGCCGTATTCAACATTCTCTGTATAATCGGTGTGTGTGGCCTTTTCGCAGGACAGGTAAGAGCAGCTAACGAGGTCTACAAGGTTCTCAGTTCCACTGGCTCTCCATATATCCCAGCAAAATACCAGTGCAAGGCAGCAGCTCATGCAGTATGAGGTTTCCGTTCGTGGGGGAGCTATGGGTGTGCGAAATACAAGGGAGCTTTATTTAATTGGGGGTCTGAAGACAGCTTTGAGGACACCAGCAACAGTGTGGAAGGGAACAGCGTGAAATACTGCTGCCGAAGTAGCTGGTTCAGAAATAAATGGGGGAGAAGGGAGGAAATGCTACATTTTCTGGAAGTTTTGAGTCTCGACTTTACTGGAAGGAGCAGCAGGTCTGAAGACATGTAAAAAGCAAAAAAGAAATAGGGTGCAAGCGAGACATACTTTAGTGCTTGAGCTTGTGCTAGTTGAACTCAATGACCCAAAGAAATATGCCATCCTTCCCTTCTTCCCTGTTTTCACTCTTACTTTACATTCTTCCCCCACTTTCCCTTCATTTAGTGCAGGCTAATTGAGGCTTCTGTCACCAGCCGAGACATGACCGAATTAGTAGCCAGTAAGGCCTTTGAGGTTTGGTTGCAGATAACTTTTGTGTTTCTCACCATTTCGTACAAAGATATTGATAATCACATCCTGGGCGCTAAAGCCTAGTTGCTAAAACAAATCTGAAGTTATAGAAGGAATGCAACAAATGATATGAAAATATCTTACAAACAACATCCTATAAGCAACTGCACGTCAGCTGTATTGGCATCTTAGATGACAGCTGCAAACACTGGGAATGTTTATGGCAGAGAGGACAGGGCTTTATCAGCAGTGAGACCTTGCCTACGGAATGCAATCCCACCAGAAATGAATGAGCCCAGATCTCACCTCTTTCAGATCAGAGGGGAAGAAACGTCTCTTCCCACAGCAACAAGAACACAGTGGCCTGGCAACACCTCACTCCAGTTAAATAAATAATGATTTAAAAGAATGTCTTGTTTTTCTCATACAATCAGACCTTATAATCGAAGGGTGGAAAGGAAAACACCATCGGGCCAGATCCTCTGCTGGTGTAAATCGCCATGTCTCTGTCGAAGTCCATGGAGCTAGGCTGTTTTATACCAGCTAAGGACCTGGCCATATAGTCTTGACAGAGTTTTCTTCTGTTTTGTCCCACGAAGGATGGTGGTGGCTGCACTATAAAAACCTAGACAGATTCAATTCAGACTTTATGAAACAGGTTTCAGATTATTAAGGGGGATGGAAATATTTTACATAGGTCAACCCTGTGATTTCCTCCGCCAGGAGCAGCAGGGATGGGGAGCCGCTGGAGGTGAGCGCCCCCCATCCAGCACCCCGAGACCTCTTCCACACCCCAAGCCCCTGCCCCAAGACCCAAACTCCCTCCCAGAGCCTGTGCCCTGCAGCCCCTCCCATGCCCCTGCCCTGCACTCCAAACCCCTCCCTCTGAGTTAACTGGCATTTTAAATGTACCGGCACCCCCCGTTCCCCCAGCATGCCGGTTAAAAAAGCTTTTACTGTATATCGCTCCAGGCATAGGCGCTGACTTCTGCTCATGCCAGTGGGTGATCAACCCCCCTCTGCTCCCGGCCCCACCCCGACTCCACCCTGACCTGCCCCCTCCTACCCCTGACCTGCCCCATTCCAACCCCTTCCCCAAAGTCCCCGCCCCAACTCTGCCCCCTCCCTGCCCCTATTCTGACTCCTTCCCCAAATCCCCGCCCTGGCCCCACCTCCTCCCCTGAGCGTACAACGTTCCCACTCTTCCCCCCTCCCTCCCAGAGCTTGCTACACTTCCAAACAGCTGTTTGGCGGCGGCAAGTGCTGGGAGGTAGGCGGAGGAGCAGGGATGTGGCGCACTCAGGGGAGGAGGTGGAGGAGTGGGTGAGTTGGGGCGGGGGGGGAGCTTGGCTGCCAGTGGGTGCAGAGCCCCCACTAATTTTTCCCCATGGGTGCTCCAGCCCCGGAGCACCCACGTAGTCGGCGCCTATGGCTCCAGGTCAGTGCTGCAGGGCCAAGGAAAAAATAGTATGTGATCATGTAATTAAAAACTGTATTATAATGAATACTCACAGAGGCTACAGATTTAAGTTTGCGCAGGCAAGTTGAATTCTGACATTTCCTAGCTTTTGGGTGCTTGGCTTTGCAACCTTAATGTTCTTTTAATGTAGCTTTTGGGGTGTAATATGTATTTAAATGCACCCATATAAAGCTCTGGGCATCATTGAAACGGGGTGCCATCAACTCTTGGTATTATTTCTTGAATGCTTTTTGCATGTCAGACTACCTATGGTTTCCTGAGTTATCCATCCGAACTTAAAGTAATTACACTGTGAGATTTGAGTTCCTGTCTGAATTAGACAGGTGATTGACTCTGTGTAATTAAATATCTGAGTATTGGAGTTTGCAGAAATGCCAAATATTTTCATATTCTTTAAGGTAGTCTTTGAAATGTCACTGTATGATCCTGTCTATAAATGGGAAGTGAAGAACAATAGTGCAGGCAATACAAGGCAATGGGTCAATTAACTCTGAAAGACCAGACAGGGAGAAGGGGATTGGATACCTGGATCAGTACGAGAAAGTGAGCAGGCAGTTTGAGTTTTCACCAGAAAGTTTGGAATTCAGCTTTTATCATTTTTTCAAGATGAAACTGGATATTTTCACTATTAGGAAAATTTCATGGCTAAGCTGTAGATGGATTCCCTGAAGGAACGTGCAGTTTAAAGCTCGCTATGTGTGCTCAGTGTTTAAGTGGCACCATTGTAACTCGTACTGTGAAAGCCCATATGATTCAGGCCAATTATTAATTACCAAAGCTTTCCCAGGGCATTGAGCAATGTTCCCTGGAGGTGTTCTCTTTTAATCAGCAGGAATTTTTCTCAGTCAGGTTGCCATGAACAACATTCGAACAGATGGAGATTAACTGTGCAACACGATGACCTAGGAACAACCAAATATTTCTTCTCCCTCTATTTCCTGGCATTGTTGTCCAGCAGTCTGAAACCTCCTCCGAAAACACAACCACAAACCAGAATTCTAGATGAAAAGAAGTTGGGAAGTCCAGAAAAAATTGAAAATATTTTGGAAGCCCCATAGATATTTTTTTTAAAAGACATATCTTAGAACCAAAAAGTTCTGTCTCAACTCTCCTCCACCCTCCCACACCGGTTACATTTCAGAAGTTCAGGAGGGACTTGGCTGCACTAAATTATTGTGTGTGGTCTAATGACTACAAACCTAGGAGTGTGGAGCTCTACTTGTTCCTTTAAAGGTGTTTAGGGGCCTAACTCCCCTTGATTTCAATGGAAGCAGGGCTGGCTCTAACTTTTTTGCCGCCCCAGGCAAAAAAGAAGAGCGCTGCCCTGCCGTCCCCCCCCCCCAGCACCGCCCGCAGCCCCCCCCCCCCCTCCAAGCACCGCGCCGCCCGAAGCCCCGCCCCCCCGAGCACCACATCGCCTGAAGCCCCCGCCCCCCCTCCAAGCGCCATGCCACCCGAAGCCCCGCCCCCCGGAGCACCACACCACCCGAAGCCCCCACCCCCCTCCGAGCGCCGCGCCGCCGAATAAAAAATAAATAAATAAATAAATAATCGAGCGCCGCCCTGCCCAAGGTGCCACCCCAAGCACGTGCTTGGTTGGCTGGTGCCTGGAGCCGGCCCTGAATGGAAGTTAAGTGTAACACTGACAGACCCCAGTCATTGGTGGGCAGGATTGAACCTGGGACCTCTGGAGCTAAATGCATGAGCTAAAAGCCACAGGGCCCTTAGGGAAGGCTGTAGCAGACTCATTAATCGCTAAGTGGTCTCAGTGGCACTAGATGGGACAGAGCACCAAACCCAAGCAGTATGTGGGTTACATACTTCCCATAGCTGAGGAAGCGCACCCCAAACTTCAGAGACTTTCCAGTTGAAATCCGGGATGAGCCCCCACTTGTAACACCGACAGACCCCTATTGTCGACAGGCGAGATCAAACCTGGGACCTCTGAAGCTTAGTGCATGAGCCTCTACCGCATAAAAGCCACATGGCCCTTTGCTAAGGCTGTAGCAGACTCATTAATCTCTCTCTAAGTGGTCTGGGTGCCATCAGACGGGACAGAGCGCCACACCCAAGCGACGTGTCGGTTACATAAGCACCTTAAACGTTAGACCTTTAACCTTTGTTTGCTTAAGTTTTTTCATCTGTAAGAGAGCAGATATAACCATACTTACTGTAACAGGGTAGCTGGCCCCTTAAATGAAATTGGGCTCAGCTCTCCTTTCCCCATCCAGGTGCTGAGCCAATTAAGAGGGTGGGGCAGTGCCTGGGGGTGCTATCTGAGGCCTGGTGAGAAAGAGTGTTAGAGCAGACTGAGTCAGTCAGGAAATGTCAGCTCCTAGAGAGAGAAGGGGGTTCCTGGGGGAGGTCTGAAAGCAGGGGAGCGGTAAGAGGGATTTGCTGGCTGGCATCCCCGAGCCAGGGCCAGAGGGCTGAAGGCAGGAGGAGCAGCGGCAGAGGGAGATGCCTGCTGGCTCTAAGCCGGAGAGTCAGAGCAGAGGGGGTTCCCTGCTGACTTCCCTTTGCCAGAGAGCTGGACTCTAGAGGAACCATGACAGGGTCCCAGCGGAGAGGCTGTGTGAGCTCCTGCTGGTAAGAGCGGGGTTGTGCCCCAGAAGGAAGGGCGAGGGGTGGCGAAAGATGCCGGGATGGTGAGATTGAAGCTGGGTTTTAAAGAGTACAAGTCCCCGGGGGATATGGACTATGTTTGGGGACTTTTGCTTATGGACTGTTTGCGCTAAGTGTTAGTTAATAAACTCTGTTGATGGATTGGAAGATAAGTTCGTATGGAGGTAGCGGGGACCCAAAAGGGAAACTGAAGTGAGGGGCCACTTGTAGGGTGGCCCTGAGGCTACTTGTTTACATTTAGTTCATGAAGCAATTCTGACCATTACCTTCCAAAGCGCTTTGAAATCCTCAGATGAAAAGGACTGTAGCAAAGCGAACTATTATTTCCAGTTCATGAGAA